ATAAAAAAATTAATTGCATCTTAAACTATTATAGTGATATTGTATAATTATTTAATCCGGCTACCATTTTTCTGGGCGACGCTATGCAAGTCTTATGGCTTAGTCGCCTAGTATAGTTCGGAGATCGGACAGGTCCTTATTTGTAATAATTTTTGATTTTGGGCCGCTATATGTAAGAATTTTTATTTTGGGCCCTCATCCGTAATTATTTTCATTTTTGGGTCTTTATATGTAAATTCCCCATGAATATTTCACTAAGCCAATCTTTTATAAGCTCTAGTAAAAGTGTAAAGCTAATTTTTGTAATTTTAATAACAGTAAAATTGGTAAAATTGGCCTAGTAGTTCTTTTAAAGTATTTTAACTTTTTTCTTAAAAATTTCTTATAATTTATAATTGTAAAAAAAATATTTCAAAAACCACCAGGCCAATTTTACTAGTTTTACTATTATTAGATTCACAAAAGCTATCTTTACATCTTTTATTAAATTAAAAGCTTATAAAAGGTTAGCATAATTATAAATTTATTTTATTTTGTCAGAAATAATAATTTTGTTCATGAATTATTTTAAACAAGCATTGGGTGAAATGTTAGACGCTCTACATATCAGATATTGAGATTAGTATTTACAGCAACGAATACGAATTGACAAAATAAAAAACATTTCGTTTTTAACATGTAATGCAAAACATTGGCCGCACGTACGTATAGTACAATAAATTGCTAACGCTTCTGATTATATTTGATTAGAGGCAAAAAAATTATACATACGTGCGTACGTAGTTTTAGCTGCCCGTAAAATAAAAATTGTGTTTTTGACACATCTGGCTCGCAAATTTTACTAAGCTTTTAAATTTTGAATTCGGCGTGGCCTCTTAAATGGAGGTAAGAAGGATGTTTACCACATAAATCTATTATTACTCGTTATTCACAGTTAATAAGTTTATACGATGAACATCCAACGAAACTATTTTTGTGTACCGGGTTACCTTTTTTCGAGTTTGTATCACACACACATTATTTCGTATGTGGTGTCAAAGAGTTGTAAATTCAAGTCATGTCAGACGCATCGCTCGTTACTGGTTACTATTCGATAATAGTTGGGGGCAAGACTTTCAAGCTGTCAACTACTGCCCTTTATTCGGATAGTCCTAACTATTTTACCGAAATCTTTTCGTCACCTTTAGAGGAAGCTCGTACGAAAACCATGATAATTGATAGAGATCCAGCGATTTTTACGGATATCGTGAGTGGTAAAAGCATAAGAGTGATCGTGGCGATTATATTCTTTCGAATCGCAAAAAAATAGTAAATTAATATAAATTTAAATTGATAACATAGGTTAAACATTTGCAAGGATATATTATTACTCCTCGGGATGAGGTATTGTTAAGTGATCGATCATTTGAAATTTTAATGAATTATGAATTAATTAATTAATTATGAATTAAAAATGAATTAATTACGAATTAAATTTGGATGAAAGTAGATCCACTATTCAGAACTATATAGCGATGCCATCTATTACAGTCTATCAAAATTGAAAGCTCAATTACGGGCCACTTATACCATAAACATTGGTGGAAAAGTATTTCGTGTGGATAGAGAAATCTTGGAAACGCGAGATGCGCCAAATTTCTTTACACTTGGTTAATATTTTTTATTTATGCACTTTCTACACTAATGATCTAGAATTAATCTTAACAACTTTCTAGGCTTTGGGCATGGTTGGGATCCACCAATGCACAACTCCCCACCCCTACAATTGGCGATAGCACCCCCAATAATCGATCGTGATCCTGAATTGTTTTCCGATATTCTGCGATATCTTCAAGGATACGAGATTGGAATCAAAGATGAGGTTCATAGACAAAACTTACTTAAGGATGCTCGCTTTTATCATTTCAAAGGGTTAGCTGAAAAATTATTAGCATCTACAGTGACTGTAAATGGTTTTGGTAAACATGATTGCGCAAAAAACGAAATATTATTTCGGTTAAAAGACATTAGGACATCTGGTGTTTTATTGCCAGAATGTAGCAGCAATGGTGATGCTATAAACGAAGAAGGTAGTGTTATTTCTACAGGTGCAACTAGTCACATCATGTATAAAAATAAGGAAGGAACCGTTTACGTCTTATTGGTAGAAGTGCATAACGCTCATCTCATTTGTCGTTATGGCTCGCAGTCCCCTTGGCCTACAATATTGGAATTAGTATTGTCTGATAAGGAGATAAAGAAACTTAAGGACATTGCTAAGGCAATCAAAGCGTCAGAAGAAATTGAGCACATTATCCGATCACCAGACATATGCGCTTTTGAGGTTGACGAGGTAAAATGCACTTCAAAAACCTTGTTAAATATCGATGAAACATCAGATTTAATAAAAATAGATGATGAAGGGGGTAAACATGTTGATTTATTCGTTACAAAAGGAATATTGAGATTATTCGTAAATAATGAGAGGAAAATTGAAATGGAGCTACTAAAATGTGAGGCCTTTAGCTCAGAGAAAGGATTTAATGGAAAGAGAGATTTCTTGCCTGCTGATAAAAGAATCGCATTGTAAAAAAATAAATTATCTTTTTGGAATTATTATTTATCAGCGGTGTTTTCTACATACATTTTTTATTGCAATCTTTTTATATAGATAAGTCATCATCTGGGTCTTCTTCGTCAAAATCATCATTAGCATCAGGTTCATAAAAAATAATCCCGCCACTAGAATCATTTTTTTTTTTCTTCATATTGATCTAATAAGATTAAAAAGTTTGTTATCTTAGCCAAATGTAATAAGTTTCGCGTAGAAAATATATACCTTGCACTTTGATATATGGTAAAATTATATCATTTTTGGCTTTTTTCTGTTCTTCAGTCAATGATAAATTGAATGACATATTCGCTATTGCTGAATCAGGCTTAAGAGTTTATATATTATGAGATTTAATGAAATTAGTAGATTAATTGAAACATATTTTATTTGACCTACAGTATCGTTATCTTTAACATTCATATCATCAGTTATTTCTTTTGCAAATTGAATTATTAGACCATTGGTGGATTCATCTACATGATATACATTTCTCTTATAATGTATAATGTATAACAAATCCAGCTTAGCATACAATCGATTAAAACTAGAAAATACGAGAGTTCAACATTAAAATTTAAATTACCTCGTAAAATACTTTTCCTGATTTTTTTCTATGCTCTATAACACACATACTACATTCTGGTGAATTCATATGTACATTTATTATAGCATCAACTCCTTTAGAATATTCATAAACTGACTCTTTGCGAACTTGTTCCATATTTTTAATTGTGATTGTTGTGGTAGCGAAATGACTTAGAATAGTGCTCCGAACATTTAGCATACCGGTTATCCCATTTGTTGGATGAGTTGGAATATCAGAATGATAAATTGCTATTACTCTAAATGTATTCATTTCTAATATCAAAGACATGTTGGTTTGTGAGTAACAAAGAAAAGATTTCCAAATGTAAAAGATAGAATCAAATTATAAATACCTGAAGAAATCAACTCGGAAGATATCTTTTTTAAAAAAGAAAATGTTGATGATATGGAAGTTAAAAGCAGAGGAGTAAGTGAGTCTATGATCAACGTGAAATTGGAATTTGGTGCTATAAAAGTATATTAGAAACATAAATTATATCGAAAAGTTAGTAGCATTCAGCAAGTAGTATTGGTTTGTAGAGTGACAAAATTAAATACTTGCACTTGGCAATAATGTCTTGTATCAGTCTTAAAATTATGGACAAATCATCAAGACTTTTTATTACATGTACTTTTGTATTATTGTCAATGTCATCTATGTCATCACTTTCATACGATCCGAGACGGGAATATGCATCAAGAAATATGACACTAGACAATCAGAAAGCATAGAATTTCTTCAATTTTAAATTTTTGTAAAAAAAACAAACCATCTAATTTAACATTCAGTACATACTTCTTATTCAATGTCATAATTTCAAGAAAATATTGTGGAGAAGACTCAACACAGAAAATAATGATATTTTGTTTACTGCCAACAACAACCGTTGGTTTTGAGTAAAATTATTTATGTAAATCTTTTTTAATAAAAAGTCACCTACTTATTCTCTGTAATTTTTTTTATAAATTCTCTTAACAGTAAGCATCCTGACTGTAATATTGTGTCTTCGATAACAGTAAATCCAAAGGATTCTTTAAAATTTAGTAAGCGATCCAACAATGGCACAGACATTGCATAAAATGACAGCTAGTAAATTAGCTTATCTGTCAAATTAATCCGGACCGGGTCACCACCAGATGACTAATTAACTACTGTACAGCATATCTGCGTGATGCGAAAATTTTAAACTCACGTGCATATATAAATGGTATTTTAAAAAATCGATCTATATTATTTGTCACGCTAGATGCCATAGTTCGCGCGCTATACAAATTAGTATTGAGAAGTAAATTCTATAACCGAAAAGTTGCAATGATTTTAACAGATCAAGCTTTTATTGAACCCAAAAAACAAATAACCGACCAGCGAGACATCAATAAATTGGTTACTTCTGAGGCATATGTTCGTTTAACACGATTCCTTGAACTTCTAAATGAGAGTGTTGTCAATAAAAAGATCTCTGATCCTTGTTTTGTTTCTGAGGTCCGTGGAATTTTTCAGAAATCGGAGTTGCGTATATGTCATTAATTTAAATTATTTCTTCAAAACGAACAGCTGGTGCAGAAAGTGATCGACACTCTGGACACTATTATGTCTTGGATCGATGAGATCCCTTCTTTACCGACATCACAGAGATTTGGTAATAAGGCTTTTCGGGATTGGGTTGCTCGTTTAGAGCAGGTTTGCTTCATTTTCATTAATTATATCGCCAAAAATTGAAATCATTTTTTTTATTTTTGACATAATTTTACAGAACGCTCCAATTATTCATCGAGATATCTTGCCATCACAATTTCATGGTGCGATAATTGAATTAGTGCCATACTTTACTGAAGGATTTGGAAATGCTACACGCATCGATTATGGTAGTGGCCATGAATTAAATTTTGTTGCATGGATGTGTTGTATGCACCTGCTGGGTTTATTTCAAGAACAAGATTATACTGCATTGGTGTTAAGAGTATTCACAAAGTATATATATTTATTTTATTATCGAATTGTTCTTAATTCTTATAAAACAACACTAATAATTCTTATTCCAGATATCTTGATCTCGTGCGACGTTTGCAAAGTGTTTACATGCTTGAACCTGCTGGAAGTCGTGGTGTATGGGGTTTAGATGATCATCAGTTTCTTTCATATTATTGGGGAAGTGCTCAGTTACGAGGTAACGTGTTTTGATTGAAAAATTCAGTGTTGAAATTATGATTTCAATTTAAATAAATTAAACTTATTTCCTACAGACCATAAACATCTAAAACCAAAGTCTATATTATCCGAAGAATTGGTGAACATGTATAGTAGTGACTATATATACTTTGGTTGCATTAAATATATTAGAGAGGTAAGACACTTATTTAATTGCAGCAATTTTGAATTGTCAGTTTCAAACAAATATTATCTTTACAGGTTAAAAGAGGACCTTTCCACGAGCACTCTCCCTTACTTTATGATATATCTGAAGTACCAAATTGGGCCAAGGTTAATTCAGGTTTGATGAAGATGTATGTAGCAGATGTTCTCAAAAAATTTCCAATTGTGCAACATTTTGTATTTGGCAGTTTACTTCCTTTCAAGTCTGTGGCCGAGCACCAAGTAGCAGATCAATAGGAAATAGATTTTGAGTTATTTGGTAGAGTACATCAGTGTTGTCACGTCTATTATGTCCAGGACGTTTTTAGGTCTTGTCCAATTTCCAAACATCCACATGTCCAAGAATGTCTACAGCATATTCAAGCTTCAAAAATTTATATATTAATTTAAAAAAACTATATTGTTTATAGTGCTGAATATTATTATTTAGAAAGTCAAAATAGGTTTATTTAATAAAACTTTAAGTAATTGTAATTTATTTATTTGTTCAAAAGTGCCCAAACTCATGTCCGGCTCAAACATAGTTTGATGTGGTCGGATTTGTATTACCGGGTTTTTATTAGATTTGGTAAAATTGATTTTCAAA